CTTGGTTAGCAGGGATGGCCTTTTTAAAATACTTCCCAAGATTGGATGTCCACCTCGTCTCCTTAACATCATCAGGTCCTTCCACGATGGAATGAAAGGCACTGTAGTTTTTGACGGCTCAACATCAGACCCCTTTGACATCCGAAGCGGAGTGAAACAGGGCTGTGTCCTCGCACCAACACTTTTTGGGATCTTTTTTGCTGTCATGCTGAAGCATGCCTTTGGAACTGCAACCGAGGGTGTCTATCTCCGGACTAGATCAGACGGAAAGCTCTTTAATCTCTCTAGATTGAGAGCGAAGACCAAAGTCCAACTGAAATGCATGCGGGACTTCTTCTTCGCAGATGATGCAGCCATTGTTGCCCACTCTGCTGAAGACCTCCAACAACTCATGAATCGTTTCAGCAAGGCCTGCCAAGACTTTGGACTAACAATCAGCCTGAAGAAAACACAAGTCATGGGCCAGGGCGTGGACTCACCTCCTTCCATTACCATCTCTACACAAGAATTGGAGGTTGTTCATGACTTTGTGTACCTTGGCTCAACCATCTCTGACACCCTCTCTCTAGATGTCGAGCTGGATGAACGCATTGGCAAAGCAGCTACCATGTTCTCTAGACTCACAAAGAGAGTATGGCTCAATAAGAAGCTGACGACATATACCAAGATCCAGGTCTATAGAGCCTGTGTCCTGAGCACACTCCTGTACTGCAGTGAGTCCTGGACGCTTCGTGCACGGCAGGAGAGGAAGCTGAACACCTTCCATATGCGTTGCCTCTGACAGATTTTTGGTATCACCTGGCAGGACAAAATTCCAAATAGAGTAGTCCTAGAACGAGCTGGAATTTTCAGCATGCATACATTACTGAAACAGCGACGTCTACGTTGGCTTGGGCACGTCGTGAGAATGGCTGATGGTCGGATTCCAAAGGATCTCCTGTATGGAGAATTAGTGCAGGGAAATCGCCCCAGAGGGAGACCACAGCTGTGATACAAGGACATCTGCAAGTGGGATCTGAAGGCCTTAGGAATAGACCTCAACAGATGGGAAACTCTGACATCTGAGCGTTCAGCCTGGAGGCAGGCGTTGCATCACGGCCTCTCCCATTTTGAAGAGACCCTTGTCCAGCAGGCCAAGGCAAAGAGGAAGTCACAAAAGCAGCAAAACCAGGGAGCTGGACAGGGGACAGATTGGATTTGTCTTCAGTGTGGAAGAGATTGTCACTCTTGAATTGGCCTTCTCAGCCACAATAGACGCTGTTCCAAGTCCTCCATACAGGCACAATACCATAGTCTCTTGAGACTGAAGGATGCCTACTACCCGCGCATGGGCTAGCATGGTTAGGGACCCGGTGTCAAAGTAGGGATACAGTTGGGTTATCCACCTCAGGTGGAAAAAGGTGGAATGGAACACAGCTGCCACCTGGAACTCCATTGATAGTGCTGGGTCTAAAGGTATGCCCAGACTGCAAACCTTATCCTTAGAGGATAGAGTAGCCCCCCACACACACACACACAAGAAAAGAAGACCTTCAAACCATAGGCACTAGGGGCACCCACCCACAAGACCTCCATCTTGACCAGGTTCAGCCTCCTCCACTCAAACGTCCAGTTTCTTGCCCTGCAGCCAGATCTCCAACTCGTTGAGCTATCTAGCCAGCTGCCTGAAGAATTAGTGACCTCCAGAAAGCCTTTTCATAACTGTCCTGCTGAGTTCTTTCAAACTCAAGACCGTGGCTTCCTTTGTTGAGTCAAGCTATCTCTTAATTGGCCTTCCTCTTTTCCTGTTGCCTTCAACTTTTCCTAGCAGTCCTATGTTTTCCAGTGAGTTTTGCTTTCTCGTAATGTGTTCAAACTTGGACAGCTTCAGTTTAGTCATTTTTGCTTCTAGGAAGAGTTCATGCTTGATGTGGGTTTCTGACTGTCTAAGGTATCTGTGCCTACAAGTCACCAGGGCTCATGGTGGTCCCTTGAATAACCAGCCTCCAAAATGTCCCTTCCTCAGTTGGGCTACTCAGCTTTTGCAAACTCAACAGAAAATCTGGGGGAAAAATAGATTTCCTAGTTTTTCTCTCCCCACTCCTCCAGTTTCATTATCCATGGCAACACCATGAGGAGCAACTATTGAACTTCCAAGGGGACAGTGATTCTGGAGCCCCTCCTGGCTAAAAATAAAATTTCCAGTGTTAAACTTAAAAATCAAGCACCCTTGCCAATGGTTTCAGTCCGGCGGGAGGCAAGCGGGGAGGGGGGAGGACGGCCACAGTTGGGGCATTTCCCTTGTGCGCCCTGCCCCCAATCTTTATTTGCCTGGGTTCTGCATGTCCTCTTTGGGAGGAGCTGGGCTGGAGCATAGGAACAGTCCCCTTAAAAGCAGGAGGGCGCTAGGACATTCCCCCCCCCGTGCGCGCGCGTCCGGCCCCCATTGTCTGTTGCCCGCCGAGGAGGAGGATCGGGCGGCGCTAGGGCCCCGTGGACTCACCAAGGGCTCCAGTCTTCCATTGTCTCGCCGCCGCAACGCGCGGGGCGACTTGGCCGGTGTCATTCTTTCTCGGTTTAGGATCGCGGCCGCGCGGCGCAGGGCTAGGCTTGCCCGAGGGGGTCTCCCTTCCCTCGTTTTTTGGCACCCTTGACCTCTCGGAATGGGCCTCCGGCTGCTCCTGCTGGCTCTGGCCGCGCTCCTTTGTGCCGCCGCTGCCGCCGAGGTGCGCGGGGCGCGTAGCTGCGCGGAGACCCGGCAGGTGCTGGCCAGCCGCGGCTTCCCGCTCGGTTCCGTCCCGCCCAGCCTCATCTCGGGTAAGGCGTCTCCACCTGCAGCGCCACCTCGGAAGAAAGTCCCGGCACCCCATCTCTCCTCTCGTTCAGGGCTCGGGCGAAGCGCGCTTGGACCAAACTTTCCGGGGTGCCCCAAGAGATGGGGGCTGGAGGATTGCCACGTGGACCCCTCGGAGTGACCCGCGGAGAAGGGAGAGATGCCTGGTTCATGGGTCTCTCTTTCGGGCACAAGTTGCTAGGAAGACTCCCTCCCTCAAAATCCCCCTCGACCCACCGCGCCGTTCTTTCCAGAGCCCCTTTGTCCCAAACCGGGCGTGTAGGGGGCGTAGCACGGCCCACATTCCCAATGCCCCCTCCCGCCTTGGTTCCCGTCCTCTTTCTTATCTGCCCTCCCTGCGAGCAAGACGGCTTTCCCCGCCTTGCTCTACTGCCCCTGCCCTGAGAGAGACCTCGCCCTATGCCGGGAACGGGGAGGGCTAGCCGCTGCCTCGGAGCGGAGAGACTAGGCTGGTCGGTTCGCTTGCTATGACCAGTATTTTGATTTCATGCCCATTGTTTCTGGGCGCACCGGCTCACTTAATCTAATCATGGAGCTTAAACAGAGGTCGTGCCAAGGATAACAGGGAAGGAAGCAGGGGAGAGGGGGGGAAGGAACCCAAAGTTTTTTTTTCTGTGCCCCAAATTTCCCTTTCTGTCCCCCAAAACTTTGCCCCTCAGGGTGGCGCTGGCGGTCTGTGTGCGGGAAGAGGTGCGTTTGACAGGAGTGGGCAAACTGACTGCCATTCTCTCCCATCCACAGGTGAGCATCTGCGCATTTGCCCTCAGGACTACACGTGTTGTGCTAGTGAGACAGAAGAGCGGCTCAGTGAGCAAAGCCAGGGGGACCTCCAGGCCCTGGTGGGGGAGGCAGCAGCCTTCCTGCTCAGCACCCTAAGCTCTCGCCAGCGCCGCTTTCAGGGTGAGTGGTGAGCGAGCCTTCTGCTATGGACAAACCATGCGAGCCGGACCCCCACTGCCTGGTAATGCTGAAGGAAGAACTACATGGGACTGTCCAAGATAAGAATTGCACCCCCCATTACACCCCCCATCCTGCTGTTTGTAGGAGGAGATAGCTACGGTATTGACCTTGTGGGATTGTAAGGAAGTTTCAGGAAGAGGTGGTCTCTAGGCAACAAGAGACTCTAGGCAATGGCCAAGTCAGCCTCTCTGCCACTTGTTTGCAGTTCAGTTCCTTTCCCCATTTCCAGTGTTTGCCTAATCCCTCCACCTCTGTTCACATCCAGCAATTGTGTCCAGTGAGGGAAACTGGTTGCTGGGATTTAGCTCTGATAGAAGCCCTTTGGGATGTTTGATAGCCCCGTTTTTGTGGTGAAAATGTGCATGTGCTCAGGATAACTCATTTTTAAAATGTCTTCAGTATTTTCAGGGCTAAACTTTAATTCTTATTAAAGTACAGTACCTCATTTTGAGTGGTTCTCTTCCCACCTGCAGATTTCTTCCGGGAACTTCTGACAGGCGCTGAACAGTCTCTCCAGGCCATGTTTACCCGTTCTTATGGGCGGCTGTATGCCCAACATACTCGGCTCTTCCAGGGACTCTTTGTGGAGCTTCGTCGCCACCTTCAGGGGGCCCGGTCAGGCTTGGATGAGGCGCTCAGCGATTTCTGGGCTCAACTGCTAGAACGGATGGTGCCTCTTCTCAATCCCCAGTACAGTTTCCCTGAGGGCTACCTGGAGTGTGTAGGACGGCAGGTGGACAGTCTGAATGCCTTTGGGAACAGCCCCCGCCAGCTCCGGGTACAGGTGAGTTCTTCCTCCCTGGCTGAAGACATCATTCAGATCTGGAGCCTGCCTCTTCTGTTGAGCGCACATAAGCCCTGCATCTTGCACAAGGGCATCCCTCCCTTTCCACACCATCCCCACCATTGAGGCATGAAAGTTATTTCCCTCAATTCTGCAGCGACTTCTGTTTTTAAACCCAGGGTCGCACAATATATGCAGGCTTGAGCACTGGGCTGAAAACAGAATGAAATTTAACAGGGATAAGTTCAAAGTTCTACACCTCATGGGGGCGAGGGACACCCAGTTACAAGACGAAGGATTCTTGGTACGGTAAGACTATGAGTGATAAGGGTTTTGGAATTGTTATAGATCACAAGCTGAATATGAGACAACAGTGTAATGTGACCACAAAAAAAGGTCAATGTCATTTTAGACAGTATTATTAGATGTACTGTATAGTCTCCAAATTCCATGAGGTACTAGCTCCCCTATTTGGCACTGGTTAGGTCTCATCTAGAGTACTGTGTCTAGTTCTAGATACCACTCATTAAGTAGGATGCCAACAGACTGGAACAAGTTCAGAGGAGGGCAACAAGGGTGATCAGGGCACTGGAAACCAAGCCCTATGAGGAAAGACTGAAAGAACTGGGCATGCTTAGCCTTGAAAAAATAAAACTGAGGAGAGATATTATAGCACTCTTCAAATACTTGAAAGATTGTCTTACAGAAGAGGGGCAGGATCTGTTCTCCATCATCCCAAAGTTCAGGATATGTAATAATAGACCCATGTTACAGGAAGCTATATTTCAGCTGAATATCAGAAAAAAATGTTAGAGCAGTATGACAATGGAACCAATTCTTTTAGGAGGTGGTGAGTGCTCCAATGCTGGCAGTATTCAAGAGAAAAATTAGACAACCATCTGACAGATCTCCTCTGATTTGGATTCCTGCACTGAGAAAGAGGTTGGACTTGGTGGCTGTATAGGCCCCTCCCAACTCCATTATTCTATGATTCTATGAATATATGTCCCTCTAGTCCTGTCCACATCTTCAGGCTTCAGAAATTAAAACTCATCCAAGCCCCACTACCTCTGCAGGCACGCACTCAGAGGCAGTGCCCAGAGAAGGTAGGGCATGGAAGCCAAGGTGCTGCCTCTGAGTGGTCACCCGCTGGAGGGCTGGCTGGGATCCACTGAACAATTGTTTGTCCAAAGGATGAACCAGCATGAACCTCAAAACCAGCCGTTCATGCCCATCTTTAGACAGACCCTTGGAGAGGTGAAAGCTACCATGTATCTGCTAGACCCTTGCCCTTTCTGGCTTATAAAAACCACCAGAAAAGGACTGGTCAAGTGGGTAGTGGTGAATGCCTCCTTATAACAGGATAGGATCCCAGTATGCTTAAAGGAGGCATTAGTAAAGACCATTGTTGAAAAAGCCTTGCTTGGATCCCACAATACTCGACAATTACTGACCAGTCTCTAATATTCCAACCTTGGGGAAGGTGCTGGAGCAGGTGGTGGCTACTCGGCTTCAGGGGTGAGATGGATTATTCAGATTCATTTCAATCTCATTTCAGGCCTGGTTATGGGACAGACTGCTTGGGTTGCCTTGGTGATTGACCTAGACCAAGAACTGGACAGGGAGATTATGTCCCTCTTGGTTCTGCTGGATCTCTCAGCAGCATTCAATGCCATTGATCACTGTATCTTTCTGGCCCATCTCTCTGGGATGGGACTTGGAGGCCCTGGTCCACTGTGGCTCTGGTCCTTTCTGGCGGACAGAACCCAGAAGGTGGTGTTGAAAAAATCCTGTCTGACACCCTGACCACTGGTTTGTGGGTTCACTCAGGGTCCTGTTTGGTTTCCTAGGTTATTTAACATCTACATCAAACCACTTGAAGAGGTTGGGGTTCTGTGTCACCTGTATGCAGATGATTCCCAGCTCAACGTCTCCTTGCCATCGCAATCTGAGGAGGCTGTTTTGGCTCTAGATCAGTGTCTAGTGTCAGTAATGAACTGGATGAGGGTAAATAAACTGAAATTTAATCAGACAAGACAGACGTGCTCCTGATCAATCAAAAGGCAAATCAGGGAATAGAGATGCAGCCTGTGCTAAATGGGGTTACGCTCACCCTGAAAACACAGATGTGCAGCTTGAAGGTGCTCCTGGATTAATCTCTGAGCTTTGATGCCCAGGCTTCAGCAGTGGCCAGAAGTGCCTTTGCACAGTTAAAACTAGTGTGCCAGCTGTGCCAATCCCTCAGGTGTTAAGATCATCAGGAGATGCCTTTCTCTCAGTCCCACCACTTTCAGAGGTATGATTGATGGGGATATGGGAGAGGGTCTTCTCCATTGCTGCTCTCAGACTTTGGAACTCCCTCACACAAAAGGCCAGTCTGGCCTCATCTTTGCTGTCATTCTGCAAGCAGGCAAAGATGTTTCTCCCAGGCAAACTTTCCCTGGGTGTCCAGGGTGTTGCTTATGTTCTTTTATAGTGTTTGTTTGATCTTTTGTAGTATTTGTATATTCACTGTTGTTTTGCTTTGATGTTGTCTTATAATTGATGTAAGACTCCTTGAGACCTATTAAGGAGAAAGGCAGGATAAAAACATTTAAAATAAAATAAAATTGTAATGGGGAACAGACAAAGTCTTCTCCCTCCTTGACAAGACCTGGCTGGGTTAACCCATGTCAGTGGGCAGCCGTTTTTAAGATGGCAGGCCCTGATCACTCCCCACCTCCCAGTCATGCTGTTCTGTCATATGGCTCAGTAGAACCTCTTCCCAGGTGATCTCCCAGCCATACAACATGGCTGAGCCCTGGCAGTGGGGCATCCAGTCCATCCTACCCCTATCTTCTATAACCTCCAGACTGCTTCTCTCTTAATGCAAGGCTGGACAAATACCTCAGTCTAGTACCTGTGTGGGCATGCAAGCTGTGACCTGTCTGCAGATTGGTGCAATTACACCTACAGTATTTGGATTGTGGGTTGTAGGGCAGAAAATAAAGGTAAAGATGGGTACTGGGAGACAGACAGGGCAAATTGGATTTTACAGTAAAGTCCTGGTTAAAGCCTAAGTGACTGCTTTTGCCTATTGGACTGAATCCAAAAGCTATAGAATATATGCAGGATCTTGAAATCGTTCATAACTGAACATTTTGTTTCTTGAGCTACCCAATAGTAAATGGAAGGGCAGGTGAGGAGGTGCAAACACAGCTTCTCTAACTACTCTCTTCCTGCTTTCTTCTGCCTTTCTCCAGGTGACACGGGCCTTCCTTGCTGCTCGAGCCTTTGTCCAGGGCCTGGTAGCTGGGCGAGACATTGTTGCCCAGGTTGTCAAGGTGAGAGGTTTTGTCTGTGTGCTCCTCTGACCATGAAGCTCTGTGGGATGGAACTGTGGGGCACCGGGAGAGAAAAATCTAGTGCCCGCTGCATGTCCAAAGCTTTCCGCCATGTATGTGTGCTGACTCCAACAACTCACCAAATTTCCTTCCCCCCCCCCTTTTTTTCTTTTTATTATATCACAAATAAACAGACAAAAACATATATGCGGGGAGGTGTTTTCTGTACAATCATATCCAATATGTAGTTCATATCCAATATGTAGTTCTGACTACATGAGCTGACCAGAGTGGTAGACTATACCAGATGGGTGGGATATAAATCGAATAAATAAATAAATAAATGAACCATATTGACCCACTAACATATTTAAGCCATACTATATTCTCCATTCTGTATCTATATGTATATATACGCATATATATTTCATATCAATGCTTCAAATATTAAATTCAGTACAGATCTTCCTGATTTATATCTGAAGTATAATCTTAGACCTATATTCATCTTCCACTCAACAATTTCTATTATTGTATTTAGCATGAAACATTCTAGTTTAAGAGTTATATATGCTTATCTATTACCTATATAGATGAAAGTCCAAAGTTGCTAACAATATATCTTAATATATTCAACAAAAAAATAAATGTGTAGATTCTTTTTTCTGCACCCTTATATGTCAGAGTATCAATGCTTTTACAATCAACAGAAATCAATATTTTAAAGAGAAAAAAGATATATACTGTATATTAAAAACCAACTCACCAAATTTCCTAGTTGCACAGGTCTATTAAGAAAGAAGGTTTTTCATGAAATCTTGGAGGAGGGCAAGTTGCCAGTGGGGAATGACAGAATACATTATTCTTGCACTTTAAAGAACCAGTACCACTCAATACAGTGTGTGTGTGCGCGCGCGTGTGCATATGCGCCCAGTGCAGCTTTCTTAACGAGCTGAAGGCAACAACTAAAACTGAGAACTTTTTGGAGTCAGGCAACTGCTAGTCTAGCCACCTGGGAATGTGTTCTGGGAACCATTTAGAATGACCATTATGTAATTTTCTGAAACACTATATTCATCTATTAAAACAACGAGTATTGTGGGCCTTTATCATTCCTATACAGTATGCTTCTCTTAACTGCAGACCAATCAGTGTTTATGCTATTGGTCTGAAGTTCAGAGTGCCATAAGAATCTTGGTTGTTTTCCCTGCAACAGATGAATATTGTTCAGTGCACCTGACCCCAGCTTCTATTATGTTTCAGAGAAAGAGAAATGTTCTAATGGGATGTTTTATATCTGCAACCTCTCTAGGTTCTCAACATTATCAGCAAATGCTGCTTAGTCTGCAGAAAGGGAGACCATATGAGGACATTGCTTTCAATCTAGGAATTGGAAGCTGGCAATCAGGGATGAAACTGATTCTGTGGGACCTTTGGATCCAGCTTGGAGGACCCACTTCCTCACAAGGCAATGAATTACAATGGGGAATTTTGAAAGGGAGGGAAATTGAATAAAGATTTCAAATAGCATGGTATAGAGATAGAAAGGAAGGATAAGTGGGGGGGGAAATGAAACAAGGCAACTGAAAAGAAGATGAGATGTCCCACTGACTGCTTATGTGTGCCCCTGAAAGATAAATCCCAAACAAGTGGGACCTTCGTGAGAAGACTCACATTTAACCAGTTGAAGTCACTAAAAATGCCTTCTATGTCCAAAACAGAATATGTAGGTTAAAGTAACTAAAAACTAAAGCAGCGCACAAATCACTGGGGAGGGCTCTCTCCCATTTCTATGGTTCTGTAACGAATTGCCAAAATTGATACAAGTGTAAGAAGTTACTTGTTCAGTTTTTAAAACTTTTGTGAGAAATTATTTTTCTAAGGTAACTTTTGAGATAATGGTTCTGAAGAGGTTCCAAATTTTCTTTCTTTTCCAGTCACTCTGGGTTGTCTGATTCTTGTCCCTACTTTCCTCTCCATTCCAACTGGTGTTTGGGCAGCTGTCCAGAGCACAGTTGTGTGCTCTCTGTGTGTGCGTGCATGTGATTGCTGAATATATGAAGGATGGGGGGGGATGAAGGAAATATTCCCATTCAGACTACCTAGCAGGCCATGGTATGACCATGTCCAGGGCAGATAACTTTCATCTACCCACATGCCTTGCCACAAGGGGCTTGGGGCAAAGAGGTTGCAAAGCTTCACTTCTCTGGATTTTTCCATAGCTTTGGAATCCCTTGGCTGGGTAGCGTGCTGCTTGGCACTTCTGCTTTTTCTTCTGCCACTGTCCTATGTCTGACAGTACTGCTGAGTTTGATGGGGGACAGCTTGCTGACGCCTTTTCTACCCCACTTGCTTGCAGCTGTTTCCCAGTGGAGAATGCCGTCGGGCCCATATGCGCCTGTCCTACTGCCCGCTGTGCCGTGGAACTCCTGCCCTGAAGCCGTGCAATGGATTCTGCCTCAATGTTATGAAAGGATGCTTAGCCAGCACAACAGAATTGGATCCTGAATGGGAACGCTTTCTTGGTGAGGTTGTCATGGGGAGAGAAGGGAAGACTCAGAGTGGGTGTACTTAAATGGAGCCAAATGACTAAGCTAAAGCACCCCCACCTCCAAGAGGGGAGCAGTGTTTCTCAAATGATGGCTTTGTTTACACTGGTGGGGCAATGTAGTGCTGGTAGCAGAACATGGGGCCTGGATGGAAATTCCTGCCATATTATGAGGGCCACTGTGGCTCCATGTCCTGCTGTCTGGTAGACTCAACACCATACACTGGTTGTACTGGTGAGCCCACAACAGTCACCCTGAGTTTCCTGGGGGAAAGGTATGGTGGAAGTGATGTAATATACTGTAGCTATTAGGTATTATTGGGGTTCTGGCTTCCCTTAGCATCTGGGGGGGGGATAAGAATTCTGTCTCCAACAAATAACACTCTCTCCTTCTTTTTCTTCTCTAAGATGCATTGACTCAACTGGCTGAGCGCCTTGGGGGGGCATTCAACTTTGAGTTGGCATCTGATTCTATTGGAGTGAAGATTTCTGAGGCCATAATGTATCTGCAGGAGCATGGCATGCAAACATCAGCCAAGGTAGGAGATGGGCAGGGGAAAGTTTTTCCATTAAATATGGAGCCACTTGAGGAAAGCTGACTATATTTTAAAGCTCACACCAGTGCAACATAAAATGCAGGCAGTATTGCACAATGCAGTGCTGCCTTTTCAATAGACTTGAAATATTTGAAACGCAGGGACTCCTGGTTTTTTTGTTTTATTTTTTGAGGGCTGCTGGCTGCTACACCTGCCCATTAAATTTGTCCAGGGTTTTATACAGCTTCTATGGTAAATTTTCAAACCCCCACTACCAGATACCTTACAAAGTAGAAAGCAACCCAAGCAAGAGCGGTCTTCATCTGAGAAATTCTGCCTGCAGAGGCCTTCATAAAGCATCCCTGTGTGAAGGTCAGTCCAATAAATTTTGTTCCTTGAGGCAGAGACAAATTGCTCCCTGCCCATTCCCTGCCGAAAAGTCAGCTGGACCAGAAGGAGCTTCACTAACAATGGAATCTGTAGCTGTTACTGAAGAAAGCAGGCAAGCTTTGGGTTCCAGAAAGGCCATGCGGCAGGCACAGTATTACTCCCTCATTGCAGTATCTGTTATCTGGGGCACTTTCTTCTTGAGAGACACTCATTGTGGTGTCTGTCTTCCTTCTTGCTTTCTAGGAGACCCCAAGGGGACTTTGTCTTCTGACAAAAATAGTTTTGGTGTTTTTTCACACTGGTCTTTCACAAACGCACCAGCAAAAGATCAACATCTGGCTTGAAGAA